AATGGTTTCTTTGAAACCTAAAGTCCATTCTCCTCCTTGCCAAATGCAATGCTTCATCTACCCTTGTCTTTTAGTAAAGGAACAGAATCTTAAAATGACATCTTTTGGTCCTGTGAATGTTTTTCTTGTATATTTGCCTTATTAAATACAAAGTTGGGCACTGACCCATCTTAAAAATATGCATGCCAAATGTTTAGTGGACACAAAACGGGAAGGCAGAAAGAACACAGGCTTTGAAAGTGTTCTGATTCCGGCTCTGTCCCTTCTAAGTGTGACCTTGAGAAAGTAACCTCTTCCTGAGTTACTCCAATAGGAAACATGGCAATAACACTACTACTTTGTAGTTGGGTTATTGTGAGAGTTGAGTGCATCAATCAAAGCGAGAGCTCCTGCTTAGAAAGGATAGAGGTTAAGGGAACTATTCTGAATTCATAAATGTTGCCAGCTACTGGTTGTTCAACCTTTACACATGGTTTTACCTCATCCATAAAGTGAAATGAATACTACTACTCTTGGGTGTTGGAGGCATTGCACAGGATGCTGTATTTAAAGCCCAGAACCCTGCTGGTGCCTAGTGCCTGATGCATGCTTAATAAATGTTGGCTGTTGTTAACTCTTACTCATTTTCTTCATTCCTGTTCACACAAGAGTCTGCTGGCTGGAGGGATCTGCAGGACACATTCCTTGAACAGAATCTGCTGGGAAATGTTCTTGACCGTTTACAATTTGCTCTATGTACTCGGCCTCCAGAAAGCTAGACCAACACGATTGAATAAGAAAAAGCACAAAAATGAGGCTATAGTTGTGAAAAAGCTACACAGTTCTTCATACGGGTCCCAGATACAACAACATCTAGAACAAAAGTTTAAGAATGAGCTTAGGGGGTAAAGGAAGAAGACAGGCAACAAAATGGCAGACATATTTTAGAGGAGAGAAAAAAATCACTTATTGTTACTTTAGAATTCCTCTCAGGACATGGGACCGGCAGATGGTGTGGAGGTTAAGGGCGCTGGACTCCCATATGGCTGACCAAAGTTCGAGTCCTGGACCTGGTGGGTTGCTTTCTCACTCCCCCTTCCTCTCTCTCTCTCACACTCTGTCCCTCTGGTCAAATTTAAATAAATAAACAGATAAGTAAAGTTGAATAATTCTTTTTCTTTAAAAAAAAAAAACAAAAAAGAATTCCTCTCAGGACTAGCAGATGGTATAGTGGTTGTGTTGCTGGACTCCCACATGGCTGACTGTAGTTCAAGTGCCAGACCTGGCAGCTTGAAACTTGCACCAGTCACGTTGGTGTGAGCCCTAACTCCTGAGAGGAGAATGGAAGAGAAGGGATTGTGGTGTGGCCATCCCTCCTGGGAGGTGATTTCTTGCTTTCTGTCTCTCGGGCAAGCCCATGTGCCATATAGTAAAAGTCTCTCTAAAAAGTTTGCTGGAATACCACAGTTTTCTTCTCCTTCTTATTTTAACCTATGCCTTAGTAACTACAGTTGAAGGTTTGAGGACAGAAGCCAAATTCATTTGGCCACACAGAAGTGAAACTACCTGTTTTCTTGTATTCCAACATTGCAATTCATTATGCAACGTCAGACCCAACACCCATAAAGATTTGTTGACTAGATGCTGCTTTAGACTTAGAAAACTATTATTCAACAGTAGACAAAGAGCACTGGCCTCATTCACTCCCAAGATTTCATATGGCAAAGTAATAAGCGAACTGCAAAATCTGATTTATTTCAGGATTTCCTCTCTTTGTGTCCACGTTCATTCCCAAGAACGTGTAAGGATTGCTCTGGTATTTGAGAAACAACTGCATTATAAGATAAAGATCTGGAAGCCTTTTAAGCTCTGCCCACTTGCTGAAATTGAGCAAGAGACAATGAAAAATCCTGGAGAGCTATTTGTCATGAGAAAATGCTCTTATTGTGTGTATTGATGTTATAGGATATTTTTGATCATATGCATAAACTCTCTATATATATGAGAACATTATTATTGATTTTGTTTCTCAGAACATTTACATTCCTGTTTTGTGCTAACAAAGAGGTTTTATATTGAGGATCACAAAACAGCCCTGCAAATTTATGACCTGAACACTGAAGATGCAAATATTTAGTGTGTGTGTTCCCTCGGTGTGTTTGGCTGTACATGTAGACATTAGAGGGAGAAAGAAATGGTTCTAACAGCTATTTATAGTATCTAAGTAATAGCATTCAGGTAGTGTGGATATTTGTTTTCTGGTTTACTGAAAAGGGATCATGATCTGAAAGTGAATGAAGTGTAGAAAAAAAAAGATGTGGCAGCAGAAGCACTGACAGATTTCCAGGCAATTTGTCCTGGGTTCAGAGCATGCTTGGAATAGCCATGGTCTCCCAGGAAGATGGTGAGTTGTTTGAGCTTGAAGAGAGAGACAAAGAATTCCACCCCCGCCTTCCCTCCTAAGTCTTTCCCCTTCAACTTCTATCCTGAGCCCAGCTCTCTTTGCCTCCTGAAAGTGAATGCTGGTTGGGGTAATCTCAGAAAATGTTTCAGAACCTCTTTCTTACTCTCAGCAAGTGGGTGAGGGAATTGAGTCCACTGACCTGCTCAAGCATCCTGCTCAAGCATCTGACCAGCTGTAGAGCATGCCCAGACAGAAGCCATGCCTCCTTTCCTCTCCTGCCCTACACACTCACGTGTCGTTTCCCATCATTTACTGTGAACCTTGGCTGGAGAAAAACTGGGGTGAGTGAAAGAAGCTTTCTGGCTGTCCAGGATTGGAAATTATAGGCATGGGATGGGTCAAAAAGGGTTAACCAGAGTTGATGCAAAACCAATGAGGTGGTAAACAAGCAAAGACAGCTTGATGGCCCAGAAAACAACCTTGCTGCCTCCCAGGCACCTTCTGATGCTCCATCACAGTGGACGACATCAGACTCTGCAGGCATTGCTGGCTGGGCCCGAAAGCCAAAGCCCACTTCACCTCTTTCCCAGGTACCAACGTAAATGCAAAGCACAGTAGGAAAGTGGCCATGGATGCTGAGGAATGCCGAAAGAAGGCACTCCAGGAGAATGGCAACTTTTCTAAGAAATGTGATTTCTGAGTCACACTACATCATTGACTTTGTACAATGAAAAAGTTAAATTAAAATCCTTATTTAATCCCCATCACCACTCTGCCATTTTGTAGAGGCTCAAAGCGGACATATTGTTCAAAGTTCTGCCACCTACATGTGGAATGGTCGGGACACTCTAGGTTGATTCCAAAATTATGCTCCAGCTTCCTGAAGAAAAAGAGTTCTTTTCTCACCCACCCATGAAGAAAAAAAAAATCACCTCAGGGTGAAAGCATATGAAATCAGAGGTGAGCTGATTATGATTGATAAGGAAATTAGATTACGCCTAATAGTCAGATAATATGTAAACCATAGCACAACTAGTTAACCTAGGAAATGCTCAATTCTTTTTCCTGCATAAAATTTTGGGGTGAATTTGAAAAAAGATTCCTGTCAAGGAGAGGAGTCTTATGGCAGAAGACAAGAAACTTGCATTGAGGTCTAGTGCTGGCTTTATCACCTCTTGGGCTGAGTAGGAATGCGGTAAAGGGATGAGAGCTCACTGAGTTACTAGTACTTGAGGAACCTTCAAGCTG